GGCTTAAGCCTACATGGTAATCCACACAGCCATCCTGTTAGAGAGGATAGATCTACACTAGCTGCTTTTTAAACATTAAAAGCATGGATCACCTCTAGGAGCAGATGTGCTGGGTGTTCTTGCTGTGCATGCAAGTGTGCCCTGCATAATTGCTGGGACCAAGCTGGGTTACAGTGAAGGTGTCCCTAGACTTGTAATTCCGCAACAGCTCGAGTGCTGAAGTTGCCTATCCTTGTGTTTTAAACATCAGTCCAACCAGCCGTGAAGGTGATAACGCATCAGTTCACCCAAACGTGACATAGTTATAGGTGGATGTTGGCAGGCTGAATCACTTTCTGACTTTGTTTCTCAAGGACTCTAGCAACAAGGTCTCTTCCCTGCAGTTCTACTGCATTAAAATGGTGGCAACAGGCGGGTACAAGGATCTTACCACTGAAGTCTTTGAAAGATATGTATGACGCCAGCATATCCCCAGCCCTGGAAGAGTTGTATATAGTAAAACATATGTGCTGCTGTCATACAGTCTGGAGTGCAGTGAGCCTTCTCCTAACCCTGCTTAGATAACTCATACCTGCCTGCATTGCAGCCTAATTACCCCCAGCTAACATAAGTGTAGTATAATGTACTTGTTCTGATGGTCATGTCAGGTGTCATGTCAGTCAGCAGCAAACACGATTCTTGACTCTGTGTTTGGTTCCTGGCACCTTCGCTGTGGTCGTGACTGCTACTACCAGCCTAAAGCCGATACAGTGTGTGACAATGGACTATTCACTCGCATACCTAAAGGAAAGCAGGCATGACCATGCATAATCCTGTGGATGCTCATGCTCCCTCCATGTTAGTGCTCGTGCAGTTGGCTCAGATGTGTAGATTAAAGATCCCTAAACAACTAGAGTAGGTTTATGTGTTGTTGTGCAACACCAGAGCACACACTCAGTATTAATGAGATTAAGTAACCAGGTGGTGTACTCTACCTTTAGAAAGTAATGACCTGGCCACATGGCCGCATCCATGCACAGTAACCGTTTGCTGTCCAAGATCACCGTAGCTTTGGACCCTTCTACATTCTCCTCTGAGCAGTGGGCGGAGGATGCCGATCGCTGCCTCTTCATCCTTAAAAATGACCCTTTTTATTTGTATTTGGCTGGTCCCAAACTGTTGTTCCCTTTCCCGTTTTTGGGTGTCTCCTTTACCTAGCAAGGTGCAATGGAGACATCCATACTCCCATTTGGGATCTGAGCTGAGCTGCATGCGTCCTTCGAGACACACAAAGCCAAGCAAGCCACTTTCCTCCTCACAGCAATCTGATAGACAGCTGCAGCAGCCAGTAACCCCCTTACCCTCATTACCCTCCTTTACTACCTGGATGTTCAGGGATATGGCACAGATCATCCAGGAACTGATGCACATATACTGTAGGTAAGTATTTGGGGACGAGGGGCCAAGCAACGCTATTGGGGCATTTTTATCTTAATACAGGGAATGCCTTGCGGTAAAATACATAGCTTTTAGTACTACTTTAGTAAGATGTTTTTAGAGATCTTTATGTTTGACTGATTTGTCACATCTGCCTCAGGCTGTAATCTTATATTTGCTGTGTAATCGGATCTCTGCTTAATAAAACATCATACTGCATTTCATCAGCGGTGAGAGACATACTGTTCTCAGGGTGACGCACCAGTCTGCTTGTCCTGACTATTGTGAGTGATCCCAGAGCTGTGAGCCGTGGCCTTTCCTATAGTCATGCACAGTTGTAAATTCTCCTCTTCTGTATTAAAATTGCTTACTCTGATTTCACTGCACGCTGTGAGCTTCTCACAATGTTCATTAGAATTTGCATCAATGCGGATAGAGCCCGCCTCATTTCCTAGCTGAAGGACATCCAGCACCATCTAGCTCATTCCTTCCCAGCTTTTCTGTTCTTGCCCCACCCCTTTCATTCATTGGTTTTCTTCATAAGAAGGTATGTATACCTATAAGGCAAACCAACAAAAAACCTCCACTTTCACTGAAATGCCGAGCTATATTAGCTACATAGGCCGTTTTGTATTTTTTTTATTTTCTAATTAAATCTACAGACATTGTAGTTGTCTAAAACTGTAACAGTTCGGATGTTGCCTCCCCAACATGGCACCCCGGAGGCCTTCTTTACTCTGTGTATAAAATCCCCCCAGAAATAATTTTTCAGTTGTGTGCTTGGTTTCTTCTGAAGTCTGCCGTGAGATACAAAGAAAATCACCTCCATCCCTTTTTAATGGGAGTTTTTGTTTTGCTGAGATACTCTCCATGGCTCATCCACTTCTAAAGAAATGCAGACACTGCAGCTTTTCCCATTACAACACTGAGATTGCTCAGTTGGTTATAACGAAGGCAAATTTTTACATTGAGAAGTCCATTAAAGAAAGGACGCAGTGAAACAAACTGTAATTCCTTCAGCAGGGAGGAAAAGGAATTAACCTGCAAAAGAATTATATTAAAATCTTTACACATACAGGTGAAACTCGAATAATTAGAATATCGTGCAAAAGTAATTGCAGTAAGTGCTTCAAAAGGGGCCCAAACCAAGTACTGTGTACATATGCATGCTTGTACTTTTCAGAGGTCCGATATTGTTCTATGTACAATCCTTGTTTCATTGATTGCATGTAATAATCTACTTTTTTGAGGTTGTGGATTTGGGGTTCTTGGGGTTTTCATGAGCTGTAAGCCATAATCATCACAATGATGACAAATCACGGCTTGAATTATCTTGCTTTGCATGTAATGAGTCTATCTCATATATTAGTTTCACCTTTTAAGTTGCATTAGTGAAATAAATGAACTTTGCACGATATTCTAATTATTCGAGTTTCACCTGTATATTTTACCTGCAGGATTATGTTCCATAAAGTGGAACTATGGGCACATAAACATTACATTTATGACGTTGACTGCCAGAAACATTTAGGTTAGGTTCACACCGCAGCAACACCAGGGACGCGCGATCGTGTGCTAGTGCACACAGCGGATGCCGCGTGGCTCCATTGATTTCAATGGGGTGACATCCGCACAGCAATCGCTAAAAATAGGTACAAGTACCTTTTTTTGGCACACACGACGCGCTGCTTTTTTCACGGTCAATTGCACAAGCAGAATCACAGCAGGAAAGCGCGCAATCCGCCTGGCGCGACTGCAGTGTCATTAGAAAATAATGGCACCCACCGCGTGATCGGCTGCGGTGAGCGACTCGGTGACCGCACGGTTTTGTGCACGATTGCCGGGCGGTCAGGAGTCGCCCAGGAGTGGTCCTAGCCTAAAGGCGCCCATACGCCTTACGATTATTGCACGATTTTCATCTGCGATCGCGTTTTGTGCGATAATACACACAATGGTGCAATATATATGTTATTTTACCCATGGTCCCACTTTAACAATACTGGAATTGGCCCGGTTGGCACAGCCTGGCTCTGCAAACCTTGATTGAAGGAGTGTGGAAAATTGCCAGCCGAACAGTAATTGCATCCAATCAGTTGCAGTCATTGTTTGGATATTCTGACCGCCACAGGTACCAGCTGTCAAAATGCAATAGCCGACAGGGAAGATTTGTCCATCCATGCTGTTTGGCGTTAATGGGGAAATCTGTAGCTTTCTCTTGCACAGCCCTTACTGAAAGAGAAAAAACTGCTTGATTTCCCCATCCACGGTAAGCGCAACAGCGCTGATGAGGGAAACACCCTCGCCGAGCTATTGTATTCTGACAGCAATGCGTGTGCCGCTCTCAGAATACCCGAACAATGCCTGCAGCTGGTTGGCTGAAAATTTACGGACCGGCTCCTTGAACAAAAGTTTCTTGAAAAATTGACAGAGGGGTTGCTGATGGGGCCACACGCTGCTCAAATGTTAACCAAATCAACAGGACTCGGCTAAGATCAGAGCAGTGTGCGGCTCCGTCAACCCCCATGTATGCCAGCACAAGGCTCGGACCTCTTCTGACTTACTTGTCCAAGTAAAAGGCAGGGACAGACGCATTTGTCGGACAAACAATTGAACAGCAAGTAGCAGGAGTTTTGGAAGAAATCTTCATTTTTCAGAGCGTCCCAAAACTGCATTTTTTGTTTTGGGTGCAGTAAGCCCTCAAGCCAGCCACACCCCCGTCCATTTTGACGATCTGTCCTCCGTGTCTTTGCATTCCGTGCGCAGAGCCACGAATCGGGTAAACGTCGATCTTTTGGCAGGCAGCTCCGAGCACCCAGCCTCCTGTGACGTGTACCAGGCTTATGCCATCCAGGTAGATGGTGGGTGTATGTCATTAACACACTCTATTCTGCAGGCCTCGCTCATACATTGTTTGGAATCTCTCAGCCTTTGTGCCCCTTGGCCTGTAGAGAGTTAATGTTTACCTGTCTGAAGGTATCAAGCCACTCCCCGCTGCCTGTCTCTCTCTTTCACACGGAAGGCAGGCGATGCAATCATTCTGCTCAGCGGGAGGCTGCAGAATCCTAATGCTCCACAGAAGACCTGGCCGTCCAGAGTGCTGCTACGGAAAGTTTCTGCTTCATCCGGACATGTCTCCGGCTCTTTCACCAGCGTGACACCATCACCTTGTTGACAGTTGGTCATCTTTATTGGGTGTCCCACTGCTGACCTTACATAGTCCATCCTCTCCAGATGACTTGACTTGGTCCAAGCCACCCCTTTGACGCACCTTCCTGCTGAAGAGCATCTGACAGCTCCAACTGCCCCCATCGACCTTCCGCTGCAAATGTGATGGTGTGGATTTGTCCTGGCTGCTTTGCATGATGCATTTTGTAACCCTTAAGGACTTTGCTTTCCTCTACAAACATGGACACTTCCCACGCTGAGGAATTATCTGATCCATCTAAAGACGCTTCAACGTTTCTTTTGTCTTTGATATGAGCCTCGGTCGTGCGTACAGGGCTGGCATTACACATCCGCCGATGACCCAAGCGGCATGTTCTCTGCAGCGACACGTGAAAAGGGTTTTGCGGCATCACCTTGCCCTTCAGATATAGAATTGGGATCGCCACAGTAGTTCCCGCGATGGATTCCCACAAATCTCTCTGGTCTTCGGACACACTCAGTGGTCTGTGGCCTGTGGACCAGGAGGAAGACGCTTATGAAGTGGAATCGCTCATACCGCTTCCCGAGCCGTACCCGTTCACATGGAAATTAAACGATCTGAATGCCATAGTGGTGAATACCTCCATCTGTCATATCAACCACAAAAAAAATGGCCACTTGTTGAAAGTAGTCTCCAAAATTTCCTTACCCACCCCGCCATACACTGTAAGTACAAATGTTACAGCTATATTTATAGTTCACAACCATTATGTCAAATACGGTATGTACACAATGTCTGCAACTTCTGGGAATGTTATAAGCCGCTGTGCGGCTGGACTTTGTAGTTCCACAGCAGTTAGAGCGCATTAAAGTGAAACTTTAGTTTTGGAGAGGGTAAGGAATGGTTAACACCTCGCTCAGTTTTTTGTTTTGCCATCTGTGTGACATTAGTGAGATTTTCTTTCACTTTTTGATCTGTAGACCCAATAGAACATAAGGCCAGATTCACACCTAAGCTTTCACAGCGTAAAAACGTGCGTTTTTTCCCCTGCATTTTTATACGCGCATTTAATCGCATATATTAATCACGCACGGTTTTATCAGCAGGTTGTGATACATCGAAGTCAATTAAAAACCCGCAAAACTAATTGCAACGCGCATTCAAGCGTTTCCTTTTGAGTGTATGGGGCCAGAACGAGCTGAAATCTGCCAAAAAAAAGCTCGGGTACTTTTTCCGGCGACAGGCGTTTTTGCTTATATTGACAAAACGCTTAGGTGTGCACAGGGGCCATATGAATGAATGGGATTTTTTCGGTGAAGCTTTTGGTCAGGCTGAATCCGCTGCGACAATGCGCTCCTTGTGAACCAGGCCTAAGGGGCATTCTCTCCAAAGTGAGGAAAACGCCCACTTAGCCAATCATTGAATGATTTCCCCTGTGTTCTTGTTCTAGTGATAACTTAAAGGGTTATTAAACCCTCAGGTGTTGTTGCATATATCTACTGCTAGCAAGCAGTAGATATATATGCAAAAACAAACAAAAAAAAGAAACCTTTGAAATCAGTTTAAACTTACCTGTGTCTACGCCACGCGCTCCCATTCGAAAATCTGAAAAATTTTGGGCAGCCACAAAGGATCTTGGGGCAGGCGCATGCGCACTTCAGAATTTCGTCCGTGATATGAGGAGAGACACAAGGTAAGTCTATGGACGCATGCAGACACCGTGGGAAAGGAAGTACCAGCAAGTACAGAGGAGTGAGCGCTGGATCGGAGACCCGCCGCAGCGCTGGAGAGAAGGCTGAAAGGGACAGGAAAGAAGAAGAAGATCGGATTAAGAGACATAATTTAAGGTAAGTGCTGACACTAACATTAGGGAAGGAAAAAAAAAATTTACACTTTAATGTCACTTTAAAGTTTGGGTTTTTCCCTCACTTGCTGCCTCAGGAGGACAAACCGAGAGAAACTCCCCGTGGTGGACATAGCAGTGTAAACTTTTTCTATAAAAAAATTGATTTTCTTTAGATACACTTTGGGTGAGGCGAGCTGATGCTTGTAGTGGGGAATGTGCATTACGTTTCCTTTGCATGGGTAATAGAGCCGGGTCACACCTTTTGCGGTTCAGGAGTGTTGTCTTAAGTGCATTTTACATGCGTCACAATTGAACTCTATATAACATGCATTTTAATGAAAGCGCATCAGATTTTTTACCGCACCTAAATCGCACTGGTGTAAACGGGACTTTGGAGGTTTTCAAGGCATGCTGAGATTTGCATCTCCAAAAGAAATGGGCGAACTGGGTTTGCACCAAGTCCAACCTCATCACTAGTTAACACTAGGGTTGCACCAATACCAGTTTTTCGGTATCAAGTACGAGTACCGATATTTGTTTTCCGGTACATACTGATACCGGAAGTCCCATTAAGGAAGCCAGGTGGCATGTAATGGCTTGCCACCCGGCTTCCCGATTAGCCGGGAAGCCGGGCGGCATTGTAAAGACTCACCACCCGGTTTTCCGATATTAGTGGGATTCCTGATTGGTCGAGAAGCTGGCCAATCAGGAAGCCGGGCAATGCGTCATTACACGGTACCCAGCTTCCTGATTGTCCAGGAAGCCGGCTCCATGCTACCTCGTCGCCAGGTGACGAGGAAGCATGGAGCCAGCTTCCTGGCCAATCAGGAAGCCGGGGGGGCGTGTGATTACATGCTGACTGGCTTCCTGATTGGCCGAGAAGCCGGCTCCATGCTCTCTCGTCACAAGTGACGATAGAGCTGGCTTCTCGGCCAATCAGGAATTCGGGCAGTGTGTAATGAAGCGCTGCCCGGCTTCCTGATACCAGAAACTCAAGTATGGGGCCAGGCATCGGAGCATTTGGGTGAGTTCGAGTACTCTCCAAAATACTCGTCATCTGCACCGATACTAGTATCCCTAGTCCATAGTTTGCACAATCCATAAATATGTAGCCAACCTAAGGCTGATGTTGCACATGTGATGCTCTCCCTTGGCGAGAACCTGTCAGTATCAGGATCACTTGAATTTGCATCTTCTTTGTATGTGTCGCTCCCTCACCGGGCTTCGGCAGCGAGATATTACTCCCTTGCTTTTGAAAATGCTACAGAATGTAAGTCGCTGGTGACAGAGTGACACTTTGGTCATCCAGCCAGCGAGAGAGCCATACATTTAAGCAGAGGAGTGTGTCACCTCTTCACTGTGTCCTCCATAACAATCCTGATGTTGGAACATTCTCGTCGGAAGCAAAATCACAAGCATGACTGCCCTAAAACTGATCTGTTTTCAGGGTAAAACCATTTGCATTATTACCACTATACAGGGAATGTGAATAGTGCCCTAGCTTGCATCAGCCAGTCAGATTCCATCTGTGGCGGATTTAATTTCTCTGAACTAATTTAAAATGATTGGTTGCTGTAGGTCATTGCTAATTTTACACAGTCATTACACTGTTATGTACCCAAGTCATCCTGTTAGGTGAACTTTGGGATGTGTCATACGTGTATAATTCTTTGTGCAAGTCAATTAAATGTTAAATGGCATTCCTTGGTGTCTGTGAAGATGCTCATATATTCAGGTCATGGTATAGCTATTGGTAGTTAGTCACATTCAACTGGATTTTTTATGTCATTTTGGCTTAGTGGTTAGCACTTCTGCCTTGCAGCACTTGGGGTCCCTTGATCAAATCCCAGCCAGGTCACGATCGGCAACAAGTTTGCATGTTCTCATTGTGCTTGCACTCCAAACACATGCTGCAAGGGTAATTGGCTCCTGTCTAATTTGGCCCTAGTATGTGTCTGGAACCTTAGATTGCAAGATCCCTGAGGGCAGGGTCTGATGTGAATGTGCAGTATGTAGAGTGCTTTGTAAATTGTTGGCACCATATAAATACCTGTAATAAATAATAATAGTAACTTATCCAAGCCACTTCTTCAGTTAATGTATTTTGTCAACAACATACCCCAGGATTTATATCTACACAGGTAGCCCAGACAACTTCATCAAATCACATCTCATGTCAAGACAAATGTTGATTGTCCAAAACAGGATCAGAGGGGTGGAAGTTGTGGAACCATCTTTCCCTAGTTATATTATCCCATCCCTGGTGTCAGGAAGAAACTGGAGCAACCATCCCTAAACGGGATTGAGGGCCTTCAACACCATCTGTCAACCACATAATGCTTTTTGAACATCTCTGCCCCGGCGATTTGAATTCACACCTTCGGCCATGTGACTAGAAAGATTTACACATATGCAGACCAAATAAGTATCGGGAATATACCCATAATTAATATTTGCACAGGTAGCACAGACGTAATCTGATCACCATGGAATGTGTCAAGTCGGATATTGATTTTTCAAAGAACAGGATGGGAGGTGTGAAAGTTGTGAAACCACCTTGTTCTGGTTACATAATCCCATCCATGGTGTCAGGGGTCTGCATATGTGATGATCTTTCTATTCACATGGCTGAAGGAAGTTGTGAATTCAAAATGCCTAGGTAGTGCTGTTAAAACTGCATTATATGTGGAAGACCCTTGTTCCAGTTTCTTCCTGACACCATGGATAGGAATATGTAAGTAGAACCAGGTGTTTCCACAACTTTCACATCTCCATCCTGTTCTTAGAGAATCACTATCTGCCTTGACACATTCCATGGGGATCGTATAAGGCCCCATTCACACTGAGTGATTTATAGAGCGATTTTTGCAGCGATATCGCTCATATTTCCACGCGATATCGCTCTATGTAGCTTCTCCAATCCATTTCAATGTAGCTGTTCACATCTCGTGGCTCAATATTGCTCAATATCGCTTGTAGCTTGTCGCTGGTAGCTTGTCGCTCCTACATGACCCTTTTTTTCGAGCGATTTTGAGCGATATTGCTCCTGATTGCATACAGCCCAATAGGAAAAAGTCGTGCGATATCGCTCGTCGCGCGATTTTCATGTCGCTCAGTGTGAATGGGGCCTTAAGGTGTCTGTGGTATCTTCTGAAACCCATTGGAACCAAAGAAGTGGCTTGGGTAAGCTATGAAACGTCTTCAACATTACAGAACAAGTCTAGTTTAATGTTACTATTACTAGCCATTCCTTCAGTGCTACTCAATCAGTAAACTGTCTGATGATGATATTCCTGATGACAGTTAAAATGAACTAGAAGCCGGACAGATGAAAAGAACAAAGAAATAGGCATAGAGGAGCCGATCCTGAGAATTTAGGAATAAGTGCTGGGACATGCCTGAAGATAGTGAGCATTCCCTGTTATGTTAGTGATCAGTAGCTGATGGAAACATTGGAACCCAGGAAAAGATGAGACGGGTGAGACATCAGTGTTATCTTCAAGGTTGCTTGCATGCAGTGAAAACTCACAACAGTTCCAAATGGGGCAGAACAAAGCATGAGGGCTGCCGCAGCATCGCACTGTCAGTTTTCCACTTAGAGAAGAAAATGAGTAGCTGGTAAAATCACTACGGGGGCTATTCACAGAAGGGTGAAGAGTCTGGAGAAGACAGGAGAAGTGAACAATCTAGGACAACATCGCTGATTTGGAAACATTCTCCAATTCCGCTCACTTCCCAGTTCAGCCATGTTGTCCCAGATTGTTCACTTCTCCTGCCTTCTCCAAACTCCTCCACCCTTTTCTGAATAAGCCTGTAAATATTAATTTGATCCTATAATCTGAGCAAGCAGATAGCATGCAATTTAGCGGCTTCATTGGA